TAGTTTCCCAGTTAGCCTACACATACCTGGAACCAGAGCCAAGTGGAGAAGAGTTCAATTTTATTGTTCTGATTTTATCCCTGCCACTTGTATATAGAGATAGCAGAAGTTTGAATTGTTTTTGTGCATACAGCTATGACTTGTAATTGCTGTTTACTATTGATGCTAGATGTATGGTTGTTGAACAGCCTGGGGAAGCAATGTTTAAAGGAACACAGTCCTTTCTTTTAAAAGATTTTTTTTTACTATAATGCATATAGAATAGAGCTGTCTTTTACACAGTACTTGATCGCTTTGCGGATTGATGTCATGGAGCTCTGCATGCATTTCTTAATTGTTCATCTCTTTAGTTTTTATAATTCTGTCTTTATATCAGAAAAAAAGTTAGCAGCTAAGGGGATTAGACTTATTGCAGCACAGCCGAAATATATCACATTAATACTGATAGTTGAGGGAAAAATATCAAAACTTTCCACAAGTATAGATCTGGGCTGCATTCAATTAATTTTCCCACAAATATATTTTATATCAAAATTTGCACAAAATTTGATTTACCTTATATTACTTATTTATGTGGAATGACAATAACTGCTAAAAAATGCATAAAATTTTCTTTTTGTGTGTGTGTGTGTTTTTTTTTTTTTTTTTTGGTTCAAAGTGGCTTTTGTAAAATCCCCTTAACCGTTGGATATCAATTAACATCTATAAATTGTCTAAACTAAAAGCTTGCAAAAAATTCAAAGATCCATAAAAGTTTTGTCACAACTGCAAATCCACTCTTTTCCTTTTTAAAAGGGTTGCATATGCTTTTATTGTATGAATGAGACTCTAATACTCCCCTCCTTCCCCAAAGCCTTTTCAAAATAATATGGAGCTTCTATAATGAAAAATGAATTACAATATCAAAGGGGAAGAACTCCCTTTATAAGTTTAAAACTAAATATGGATTATTATATTAAATATTAATATTATATTAAGTCTCTTACCAGCAGTAAATATTTTCAAAAGTTATAGGCATGTAAAAGAAACAAATAAGATTGTGTAAATGTGATTTTAGTACAGCCAAGTTTTAGCTGTACCAAAAAGTTTGGTAATGTTTATTTTTATTTTTTGTTTTGTTTGTTTTTTTGTTATTCTTTTCAATCATTTTACTTTTTTAATATATTTTTTTTAATCTGTGTGTTTGTACCTTCAGCAAAAATATTATATTTTACTTTGCACTTCAACCATGTAACTCAGCAAAAATTTAGTAGATTATTTTTTTTTTCTTGGAATTAAGTCCAAGCTCAACAGAAAAGTGTTTAGAGGATTGTGGGAAAATCTCTACACACTCTGAGGAATCTATTAGTTCTCAAATTAAGAACACACAGAGATCCGGATGACTTACAAACCATTTTTGAGGGGTTTTTTGGGGACGCGATTCACTATGAGCTAATTAAAATAATTTTAAGGGTTGTCCTGAAATCAATGCAGATGGTAATTTCAGGCTTATCCTAGGTATGCATGGGAAAGATAAGAGTGATTAAATCCGCCGGCGCATTAATGAGTGTGAGATGTAAAATAATCCGAAAAGGCATGGCAGGGTTTCTTCAGGAGAAGCCAAATGTCAAGTGCCATTTTATTTCATCAAGAGTCTCTTTTTTTTCTTTAAGGGACCGGGTTTTCGTTCTTATCCAAACTGAGCCCTCCGAGATCTCTTACAGGAACACAAAGCGCACATGAGGAGCCTGTACAGACGGATGGATTTATTGCAAAAGATTGTTATTGTCCATATGAGCTGAGTTACACCTGAACAGAAAGTAAGCAAAATTATTTTTTGCACTTTTTTTTTTCAAAATGAGATGATTTCTGCAGAAAGAAAGCTATGAGCTTTCTTTGGCAGCGGCGGAACTAACAATTCTCCTCTAAATTGTCTCAATTTTCCTCGCCTGTCATAAAACAATGAGACTGCAGCCCAAACAAAAACATTTACTTTGGAAATTAGATTTTTTTTTTTTTTAGATGATCATTTTTGGCAATGTTGAAAAGAAGACTCTTTACATCACACTCATAATTAATTGAGCAAATTTGTTTCTATTAAATAATACTAACACACGCAGTGAGAAAACTCTATTAGCCTTAATTAAGCTTGATATCCTAATTTAGGAGATGGGTGGTTGAAAACAAGGCGTTTTGGTCGATTTTTTTCCTCTGTCTTTCCCTGATATGAAAACCCTACCAGCTTTTTGCCTTTGGGCTGCTTTTCCTCCTTTGAGAGTTGGAAATGAGAAATGGAAATGAAAATACCAGGAGGTGCTAAATGAGCTGCCTGATCTGCACTTATTGCGGCATACAGGCCCTTAATACTTCTCCCAATCTGCGCCTCTCTTTTTAGCATTCCGGGCATGGAGGAGCTTCCAGATAGCAGATTTATCAAATGGTAAAATGAATGCATGATGATCAGTTAAATTGAAAATCAGCGTCTGCATGACAGCCCGACCTGACACCGCCGTAATTAGAAAGAAAAATGATGGCGTCCGATGCATAATAGAGCAAAAACAATTTACACTCTCCCATAATGATCCGGCGTTCAAATTGAAAATTTCTCCGGGTATAAATTGAATTCATAAAGTATGATTCATGGGAGGACACATCTCCTGGAGGCTGCATGGGCATATCGATTGATAGTTTGTCTTGAATCATGCAGCGTGCAGCTCTCAGGCAAGAAAAGCTTAACTACTTAAGCAAATCGCTAATTTCACCTTTAGGCCACCAATGTGCAGCCAGCGATACTCCTATTCAGTGCGCTAATGAATTATGGATGAACTGGGCATACGTCCCAAGGAAAAAAAAAAAGCATAGGAATAGCATGAAAAAACATACATCTAAATGATTGTAAAGGGTTGTTTCACAAATTGGTAAATAATCCTTAAACCTTGTGTGAGATTTTTTTTCTTGGTTTTTGAATCTTGTGGAACAATTTTGGCTTTTTTTTTTTCTCTCAAAGCGTTTTGGATTGAAAATGCGCACCTAATTTTTTCACAATTATTTACTAAAAAACCCTTGAAAAATGTATGTACAAACCCTGTAATTTATCTAAATTATACATTTAATTTATTTGAAGTTTAATCCACGTTTACTAATGTATAAAATGTCTGTACATGACAAATAATAAATCAAACAATAAGGGAACTATACACTGCAAAAAATTGTCATTTTTTTCTTGAATTGAGGACGAAAGTGAGACACTTTGCCACTGGAACAAGACAATTTACATTTAAAATAAGAAAAAAAAACTTTTTCAAGTTCATATTCTCTTATTTTAAGCGTAAAGATACTCATTTCATTGGCAAATCATCTTATTTACCTACTCAAATTGAGGGTAAATACTCTTAATTTAAGAAATTCGTGCGTATTTCTAGACCGTTTTTGCAGTGTATGATCCCAGATCTATAAATCACCTTCGACCCAAAGCCAGGCGGGCATGATTTTTTGCGCCTGCCATGATGGTTGTGTCTGATGTTGCCCCATGCTCCCCAAATCCCCAACCCACCCACCAACCTAATAAGACGTTGCTTCCTAGAGCAAACAGCTGCATGGGTTGAAATTTATGTAAATATTTTGAAAAGGGACACTGGCTTAGAAATTCATTTGCACCGGCTCAGACATAATGCTGGCCTCTCTGATTATCACCAATTTATTTGCAAATCAAGACCCAAGGAGAGCTCTAAAAGCTGCATGTTTTGTTTTTTGTTTTTTTAAGCGTTTTAACTTATTCTGACATTATTTTGTATTTGGTTTCTCCTGCGCGCCTCCTTCGGCTTGATATTGTGGTCAGCGCTGCTAATATTGCAAAAGGAGGGAGCAGATGTCCCAGATCCTGTGCGGCTTCCCCGGGGACCGGCAGCCCTATTAGAACAAATGTGTTCTGCTATTGTAAATAGGCACGTTTGCCTCAGCCCGTCCTATTACAGCCGACGCGTGATCAATAGGCTGATAACACAGAAACATCAATGTAAAGCGACAGAACAATGAGGGATATCATCGAACATCTATCTTAATATAGCCCTGCTACAAGGGGCCCCTGACAATGTGAGGAGAGAGAGAGAAAAAGAGGGAGGGAGGAGAGAAAAACCTCATGAAAATGCCTCCCCACGAATCCCCATCTCCTATCCAATATGCACAAACACACACACTCCCAGCTGCCGGGGCTATTATTTTCCTATTTCAATTTGACACCCAGGCCTTTTCATGCTAATTCTATTATTCTTGGAAGTTTATGTGATTTCATATCACTAGAAATCGGTAATGTATTATAACCCCCTTTGAGCTAAAATAAACTGAATCCCCCTGCAGTAGCCACCGGGAAAATAATTACTTTCATATCAAAACTCTGCAGGAGTCGAGCGGGTCCTTTTCGCCTCGGGCTCCTAACCTCATTTCAGCGGGGGCTTATAGATGAATAAATTTGTTAAGGCAATATACAAAGTACAACATAAGATTTTCTTAGGAGAAGCCCCTTCCCACTGTACTGTAGTCCTGCGCTGCTGTTTAAGATCTCACACGGGTGTCAGGTGCTTGTATACAATAGATTTATTTAGGAAAAACCTTACATATATAAATAGTATAATTTTCTTACAGGTCTTGAGGATTTTTGTTGGTCTTGTGTTTTTTTTCTGACATGTCATCACACATTAGAGGATACTCTCACACACTCGCAGAAAGAAAGGAAAAAGGAGAAAAGGAGGAAAGTGTTCAAAATGTCTGCGGAGGTTTGGGTAAAAGTTAAACGTGGTTAAGCTTTGGCCTAATGAAAGGTGTTGTTTACACTGGAAAAATGATCTAGAAATAAGTCAAGATTTCTCAAATTAAGTGTATTTGGCTTTAATTTAAAAAGAAAAATAAGATGATTTGCCAATGGAATGAGTATTTTTACTCTTAAATTAAGATAATTAGATAATTTGCACTTAAAATAAGATAATAATATTTTTTTATTATTATTTTAAATGTAAATTGTCTTGTTCCATTGGCAAATTGTCTCACTTTCCTCCTCAATTCATGAAAAAATGCACTTATTTTAAGAAAAAATACTTTTCTAGAATTCTTTTTTCCAGTGTAGAGGCTTGTTTTTTTCTGATTTATTCCATGTCTACGTCTTCTGTTGGGTTTGATTGTGTGGCACTGTCACTGTGAGAATCGGGGTTGTCAGTGTGCTCCAAGTGCTCCTTTTTGTCCGAGTCGATAAGTTCAAAAGTCGACTCGCTGCAAATAACAGAGCTCTGCTGTCCGGTTGGAAAGGCGGCCCTGGACGGGCTGGTTTTTCCAACCTGCGCTGCTTTTTGCGCGTCCGGCGAGCTGCTTCTACATCCAGGGGAGGCGCCGCAGCGCTCTCCGTCCGCTGGGGGGTCTCCTTCACAGTTTGCAGCTGTCGTTGACGTCTTCAGGGCCGTTTGGGGGACAATGAATCCAAGCGGCTGTGTGATGGGGTAGAGCAGGAAGTGTCCTTTCCCTATCAAAGGCCGGGAGGAGGGTAAGGCCGCGGGGGTGCGCCTGGGTCTGGAGTCCGAGAGGAGGCTCTCAACGCTGAACGGGTTGAGTTTCTGCAGGCTGGAGGCTCTGTTGGTGTTACCGGAGCACAGGTTCGACCGGTGGCTGAGGTCAGGCGAGTCCAGCTCGGACCCCCCAGCTTCCCGGTCTATGTGTCTTTGGTTCTGGCTTTGGAGGTCGCACCTCGACTGGTTCCCGCTCACTGAGTCAAAGGGTGGGCATGTGTTGTGGTCACTGTCGGTCACATGTGACACCCCGCTGTCGCTGTCCGAGCCCGGGGTGTGAAATAAATCCCCAGAAAGGAGCTTATTCTGGGACTTGAGCAGCCGACGCTCCTGTTTCCGCTTCTTCTTCTCCAGCCTGTCCAGCTCTCTCCGGGCGATCTCCTCCGGGTCCATGGGCTCCCCGCTGCAGGTGGTGGGGTGGGCGTTGTGAGCAGGTCGACCCGGTCCTTTCTTTGTGTTCTCCTTTTTCCTCCATTTGGCTCTGCGATTCTGAAACCAGACCTTGGAAAACAGAAAGGGGGAGGAAAGTGAAAACACGTGTACACTGCTGGCCCTATACAAGGGTCAAATTAATTAGAGCAAAAATGTGTCACTGTCTTTGCAACACGGTAATTACACAAATAGTGAGGTTACACCTTTCTCTTGTGTTGTTTTCTGGGCCTTTAATTAGGCCTTTACGTCATGCATTCTTTCATATTTAGTTAGTCTAACAATTGTTTCATGTTTGCAGGGGATGAAATGAAACAATAGTGTTAAAGTAACTAAATATGCATGATTTTTTTGTTTTCGGTGCACAGGAAACAAATAAAAGTTGGTATAACATGGGAAAATAAACCTCTCAATCTTAAATAATTGGGCAAAATGTGCATTTATTTTTTCTTTTTTTTTAAATATAATTTCAAAAACGAAAAATACATTTTCGTTTGAACGTGTGCTGGAATACTTCCTGAAAGTAACAGTAAAAGCATCCTACACCTATTTCTGTTATTTCATCAAAGGTCAAAGGTTTTTTAAAAACATTTCTGGTGTCATTTGATCGATTTAGGACAAAAAAAACAGACAAACCTTAGTAATCACGTATGGTATTAAAAAATAAATATTCCCCCTTGATATTAAACAATATACTTATCTCCATTCGGATTATTATTCTGGTTGTGTAATTTTTAGCATTAAATGTAACAAATAAAGATTAGCAGCAAAAGAAGAGAAATTTAAAACCAAATAGACAATTAAATTTGTATTTACCTGAACTCTTGACTCTATTAAGTCCAATCGGAGGGCCAGAGCTTCCCTCATGAACACGTCCGGATAGTGACTCTCATTAAAAGCCTTTTCTAATTCCTCCAGCTGCCAGCCTGTGAAATTTGTCCGAGTTCTTCTTCTCTTGCAGCCAGGACTATCTTTGTCTGGGTCCACCGAATCTGGCAGCATAGAAATATTAAACAAAATGTAAACAAAGCAAGGAATATGTTTTCTAAAACATATACATTATTATGGATTTTATTTAATTCTTTACATTTAGCAAAGTTTAATGATGTTGCAACACATGATGTCGCCTCTGTTCCCTTGTTTGGAGCAGGAAGCTTTCATTGTAAACAAAAGCTGTTTCATAGTTACTGAGGAGGAAAAATATTGGTTTTCTTCAGGAAATCCTCAGTGTTAGATGAGGAAAATAATGTGGGAGGCGAGAATGCCTCTCAAACCCACGGAGAAGATAACTTGTCGCAACATCCAGCCTTTGTTTCTTTCTGTTTTCCTTCCCCACAGCTGGCCAACCTCCAGCAGGGCTCATTGTGCTGAGGCTGAGGCTTACCTGACAGTTTGTACTGCTGATTATCTCCATTCATCCCGCAACCCGAAGACAAGAGGGGGTTGGAATTACCCACCGACGCCGTGCAGGAGCCATTAAGTAATCCGTCTATCGAGAAGGGAACCGCGGACGCAGATTGAAGTTGATGCCCTGCTAATTCGTAAACGTGATGGTGGCTCAGCTGGTACGGGAAGCCCACCATCCCACCGAGAGAGCCTCCGAACTGGGCGTGAGGTGGATCCAGTATCCTGCTGTCCATCATCCCGCAGGCAAAAGGAGGCGACGTCTGGAGGCCGGCGACGGGGATTTAAAAAGCATGCAGTGAGTGTGGCCAACGAGCGGGGGACATGATGTGAAGGGAGGGATGAGCTCTACTTTATCCACATGAACCTCCCAATAATTAGCCAAGGCTCCGGGAATATGAGACCCAATGAGAGGCGGTAATGGGCGCTGACGTCAGAGGCGCGCTCTGCAAACGCTCCCCATATCGATTGCTAATTAAAGCTGACATCCACCTCAATAAACAATATCAGAGCTGTCACAACAAGACAGGAGGGCTTTGATAAGAACTACATCGCAACTGCACGGGAGACCCACCGGGAGGAATGAGGCTCAGAGGATCCCGGGAAGAAAAGGCTGCAGGCGGACAGATGAGGCCAGCAGCTCCCGGACGGTTTTGTCCAAACAAATAAGAGCTGGCAATACTAGGGCTCGTAGTGGTGTATAAATTTTAGGCATTTTAACATTTCCCCACAGTTGTTCATTCATGCATAATATTTTATTTTCAGTTTCAGCTCTTGATGACAAATTGAAAGATGAGCACAACATAACACTTCTCACATATAAACCCCACATATTGCAAACAATTTAAATCTTTATAAGTCATTTTTTCTTAAAATAAGTGCATTTTTTTCTTCGATTGAGTAGGTAAGTGAGACACTTTGCCAATGGTACAAAACAATTTACATTTAAAATAAGAAAAAAAACAATTGCATTGTCTTATTTCAAGTGCATTTCATCTAATTATCTTATTTCAAGAGTAAAAATACTCATTCCATTGGCTAATCCTCTTACTTTATACTCAAATTAAGAGTAAATACACTTAATTCAAGCAATCTTTACTTATTTCTAGATTGTTTTTGCAGTGTAGTGAATATTTTACTCAGATTTCACACATGAAAGCAAAAAAAAAATAAAAAATAAAAAAAAATTAGGAAATGTTACATATGTGGTTTGCAATTATGTCTTTTTTTATTATTATTATTTTACATATTTAATTCACAAAATAACCAATTCTGATAAACGTTACTGACGCTGTCATAACGCTAATCAGAGCTGAAATTTGGCCCCTCTCCCTCCCTGACCCTTGGCTCCTGGATTGGCATGTTGTAATAACCTGAATCTCTCAACAGAAGCTGCGATAATTGTTACCCTATTAGCATGCAAATTGTTTAATTAATATTATTATGAGGAAGTATATAATCCGCTCGTCACTTGACCCCCAAGACCAAATAACAACCCTCTGCATTTCAGCGCGAAGCCCTTCATTTTAATCAACTCCTCAGAAATTATCCATCTATTTCTTTCTTTTAGCTCTCACTTTTTTTTTTTTTTGGTTTTTTCTTTTAATTTCATCTGACACGACCTTATAAATTATCCCTCCCCAGTCATTTACTTTTCAACATTAAAAAAAAAAAAAATCAATAATTGCTTTCCGTCACCTACATATGTAGGAGGTCAGGAAATATATATTTGAGTGCCTCAGCCCAGCCGAGGAGCTGAGGGGCTCAGTGGAAATCAGCCCCTTGACACAGTCTCCAGAGACGCTGCATTCAAATCCGTTTTTTTTCTACATCGGGTGACATTGTCAGATTCTAGCTTTAATTAACCCGATAATAAGGCGAACAAGGCCAGCATTCAGACGCTGCGCTGCCTTGTTTCCTTTTTGCTTATTGTCCCCTTTGGCAGCTTTTCAAAGGAGAAGTGATTTTTCTCCCCCTAAAATAAACATTCTCTTCTCTTTGGACTCATATGAGGACAACATGCTGTTGATCTTAATCAATGGAAGAATCATATTGCCTATAGATTAATTGATTTACCTGCAAAAGAGAGAAATATATAGGGCCAAAACGTCTGAAAGCTGCACAAACACAGTAAGATCCTCCATTTTAGTTTAACCTAATACTTTTAAATATGTAAAGATTTAAATATATTAGCATTGGTCTTATATAATGCTGTCATGTAAGCCACACTTAATAAAACTTCTATTGGAGCTGCATTAGAATGTGTTTCAGAGACTCCCTGGCATCAGTTAGAAGTTTTTGTGCTTTATTTATCATCTGCTTAGTGTAATTTATGGACGTGCTCCAATCTCTTAAGGGTGCTTTAAGGTGGATGCTTGGCTATAAATCCACTCAGCAGTGAAGCAAAAGAAAGTCTCCCATAAGGCCCAAACTTTGCTCTCACTTTAAAATAACGATTGAAGAGAGCAAACATAAATCCTAAAGGTGTCATATGTCACCAAGTCCCCGTTTTTTAGGTGTTTTATCCTTCACTTTGTTTCTACCAAATGCCCTGAATGTCAGCATTGAGTTGTTTGTCTTTCTCTCCTTGTACCCTAAGAGGATTTAACAACAGCAGTCTTACTTTATCCATAACCAGATAAACCAGAAAAGTGAAATTCAGTATGGGAACTTAACATAGGTGTTCTTATGATCCACCTAAATCCCCTTCCCAAATAAGAGAGAGGACTTATCTACCAGCCCATCCAATAATGATGCCTACTTTAGCAGCACAGAATCACATTCATTTTTAATTAGGGAGACAAATTAATAGGCAGCAGTTTAGGAGTTTAATTACTCAATTAACTTCACGCACGTTAATTTTTAACTATCTAAATTAGGTTGCACATTATTCGATTTGATGATAATTATAGAATTAAATATAAATTAATTGTTTTGGATGATTTGAATGAACTAGATGCAGTTCCAATTAAACAGCAGGGTAAAAAAAAGAAAAGCTGGGTGCCATCTTAAGCTCACAAATCCTTTGATTCGATTTTAAGGAAGAAACTCTGCCTGGAAATTTTCTCTCTGATCCTCCAAATTCTCTCTCTCTCTCTAATCCCACAATTAAAAGTTTCCTCCCATCTAATTATCTGTAATTGTGCCGCTGTCAAAGTAGAATGGAGAAGTGAAAGCGATTGATTTGGACTTTTAATTCAGTTCATTTCTGATAGAAGAGAAAGTAATTCCCTTCAAATTACCTCATTCAATCCTGACACCCTAATGCCCTTCAAAATCTCTTTTTTTTCACTCCTCAGCATTTATATATTAAAAATGAAGCTGAGAATGACTAGTGCCTCCTAATAATAATAACCAAACTTCCATTAGAATAATAATTTCATTTCAATTAAAACTGACTTATCACCTTTGCTAAAACGTGCTTAATATGCCGAAAATTATCAATGCTTGAAGGAGCCCAAACTGGGGAGTCTAATTGTAATCAGCAAATCAGAGGTGCTTGTCGCTGCTGTGCCTTTGCAGAGAGGCAGTCTCGGAAATAGAACTAATTTACTCAACTCCCCCGGGAAATCCGCTCAACAGATTAACATTTTCAAAATATAGTAATGATATAATTTGAGAAATGGTGACGCCAATTTGTGAGAAGCCTTTGTGTGGAATAATTTGCTTTTTTTTTCTTTCCTCCCCTCTCTTCGCCACCGCCTGCGTTTTGCCCCCGTTAATTACAGCTCCGCAGATGAAGGGTGTGCTGTTTGACTCAGTGCTTATTATTCAACTTCAATCTAATAATTCAACTCTACAGGAATGTGGGGGGAAATAAGTGTTGCCTTGCCATATTTTAAGCCACCCTGCATATAATCCCAAATGGATATGGATTGGGGAAAATCTGAATAGGTGCATTTAAACAAGCAGTCCTCCTGTCACTATAGTTATTTCGGATCATGAGCGCATTAATCTCTGCATGTATAATACTTCAACATGATTGGATAGTTTTAACTAAAGCTATTTATCTGCAGCAACGAAAATATTTAAACTTCCAACTTCACTTTAGTAAAGACTGCGCATTTTGAGGTAATTGCGTCATTTGGACATTAAACTGTTTTGCAGAAAATAGATCTTAAAGTAGCATCCCTTCACGTCATACAAGAGTTGAGATGGACAATCTAAGGATAAACTTATAAACTCTAAAAAAAAAAAAAAAAAACGCTTTTTAAGTGGAACTCCTTCAGTTTGGACTAACCTACATGAAAAGTGCAACATTTCAGACAGTGTCTCTTCATATCACATAAACATCAGAAGGACCCTGCATTGAAAGCCCTACAGGAGTACATAGGAAAGTTCCCCAAAAAATACATTGGAGCAAGCAATGACAAATCTGAAAGACAAAACATTGATTTTAATGCAGGATGCATGAGGTGCAATCATTGAACCAAAACTGACAGTGAAATAAGTTTTTGGACACTTTATGCAGACTCTGGATGAATGAAATTTGCTCAAAACAAAACACTTCTCACACTCTCTGTCTCATTTTTGTAACAAACCCTCTAAACGCTTTGATCTGACACCTAAGCTTGTGACCCTGCCTTAATGCTTCACCAAACCCATTCTGAAAAAAAGAAAACAAATTCTAAACTAAACCAGTGTGTGAAAAAGTCCTATTGTGCCCTCTAGTGGCTAAAGTACTGCAACAAGAGTTGCAGTTTTTCAGCCAGCATGGGCTGATTCTGGTCCACCAAACCAAAGCATTAACAGACAACATATAAGCATCAACATTGGAGGATAGAGCAATGGAAGAAGATTACCTGATCTGATTATATATAGGGAATACAGGATGTAGGCCTACTATAAGAAAAATGTAAGCTTATAAAGGCAGTGGCATGTTTTCTACTGTGAAACCTTTGGTCCTGCTTCTCATGTTTGTGTTACTTACAGCGCTACTACAAATACTTTGGCTTCCTTGCATGTCTCATCTGTTTTTATTCTTATTATTATGTGTTTTCATTTTTTTTTTCAGATAATCACATTATTATATCAGAAAATTACCAGCGAGATAAGTAAATCTAGTTTTTTTTTTTTACACACACATTTCTACAGTCAGACCTTTATAAATCACTTACATAGAAGCTGTCAGACCTTCAGAACTTTATTTGCTTAGCTTCTTAGGTCAGTATTTCTAAAATGTTATATAGAAGAATTTTCCAAAACATTGCAAAAAATAATTATCTTATGTTTGTACAGGATGTTGTTGTGGCGCATTCTGTTTTGTTTAGATTGGTATGAAAATGATATCCTATTCAGTGAAATGAAGAAATATATGGTGATAGAGGTTCTGAATATATATTCTAGCCGTATCCTGATCT